TAGGGAAAAGAGAAGTGAAAAGATATGTTGTGTGTTACAATGAGTTGGTCTTATATAGCATGGGAAAGGTATATAGTGGATTAAACTTTGGGACCTCGGATTTCCAACCAATTAACTATATGCTCTTGTCTTGTATGAATATGGAAACTGAGTATTCATATAAACACAAGAAAAAAGAATCAATACAATTGTACCAAGATAATAAAAAGAAAATTATAAAAACATGGATGGATGGATAACGGGTAATGGGAATCTACCAGTACTGGCCCTTGAAATCATTGAACAGTGGTTTGTTTGATACAATAATTCCTTTTATTTTGTCACTTATGTCAGAGTTGTGATTCAATTTCTTGATTCCCATGTGACAAATTCTTCTTAGTTCAATCATATTCCTCCAAATAACTTTACTTATATCTATGTTCATCACTAAAGTAGAATTTGTTAATTCTTAGTGTCCCTTTTCTCTTAAAAAGAGGAAGTGCGAATGGCGCGATTAGATTTGTCCTATATATCTGTCTTACCCTTGTATATACTATGCTTCATGTACTATACTTCGCAATTTAAAAGCACTTTAATTTCTCTTTTGCTGAATCAATACAAGGTAAAGTGTTAAACTTCTCTGCATATACTAAATTTAACATTTAACCATTTCTATGAAAAATATAGTTTAACAATTTCTAAAACAAAACTTGGTTAGAAGGAGTTTGTTATAGTGACCCCCTTTGCCATAAATGACTATATATATATATATATATATATATATATGATTCCTTGAAGAAAAAATTATCCCCTTGGCAAAAATATGCTATATATACAGTATAAAATACTAAGTAATAGACTAATAGTATTATATCCAATATTATTGTATGCCTAGTAATTATAATTAGTAGGGAAGGAATCAAGTATATGAAAGGAAAATTCCCAAGAGTACATAAACGTCAAGACAAAATTAGGACTATATTGTGATTGAAACTCAAAAGGTACAGCTATGAGTGTACTGAATTCACAGGCCTAGCAGGAGCATGACAGAAATTCAAAATGACACCATCCAAACGACAAGGTCGCTGCATTTTGTTGTATTACATATATACAAAATAATAATAATATGCTTGCATTTACGGTCGCATTCACTCTCCTGCTTAAAATTTGCATGGGATGGGATGTGGGAAGTAAGTCAGTACCACACAAAATGGTCACTGTCAGTTACTTAAATAAAATATTTATAAAGTAACAAATCAAAGGTGTTGTGTATAAGACCAGAATTTGCATGGGATGGGATGTGGGAAGTAAGTCAGTACCACACAAAATGGTCACTGTCAGTTACTTAAAATAAAATATTTATAAAGTAACAAATCAAAGGTGTTGTGTATAAGACCATTTGAGTTTTATTTCTTTTCTCTTTTTTTTTCCCCTTTGGCACTCAATTTTTTTATTTATTTTTAATATAGTTCTTTTGGGATCAATTTTAGAAATTATCTCGGAATGTAAGCACTTGTTGGCTGTTGCAATGTTTTCCCAAGCTTATAATGTGTTATTCTTACACTTCGAACTTGCAAAAATTGTCAAGATTTCTCCTCCACCCAATCTGTAAATATCGCCTCCATCTTTATTTTCTACCAAACTTAAAGCATTTTATTTCTCATTTCTTGATTTTTCTTTGTAAGCAAGATTTCATTTGCTTTTCTCATAAGAAATATATTAGAAAAATTAAGGTTATACTCTCGGTAGAAGTTTAGTTTATTCTTTTCCAGTCAAGAAGCTAGAGATATAAGAAATTATCCCTTCAAATGTTATCTATATACCTATTACAAGCCATTAATTCCCATTTTTTATTCAGCCTTTTAAGGTCCTATTCTAATTGACATATCAAATACACACATTAATCTTTTATTAATTGGTCTTAAACTATTTTAAAAATTGTGTTTGATTTTCTTTTAGTTTAATAAATAATGATTATTTAATTTCTAAAAAAATGTAATTTTTGCTCTATTATTTGTATATAGCAGTTGATAAAATGCAGGTTGAAGACTTTAAAAAGAAAGAAATTAGTTATCCTTTGATAATGGAGAATAATAAAGATTACATAAGAAAGAAATCAATTTTAATTTAGATTTTGGTAAGGATCAATATATCTATGTTTTTATTAACTTTGATTTTTGACGAAATAGATAATACATCTTGGTCAAATTTTTATTATAGTGCTTATCACTCCATTAAAATTTCTGGCGCTGACGCTTACGAGAGTGACATGTTTTAAAATTTATGGGGCATATCATAACATGTATCTAAGTTCGGAGAGAATTTGTAAAATTTATCATCCATGTGGCCGATATTATCTATTTAAATATATATGTATATATATAGACACATATATATGTATAGATATAGTGAATAGGGGAGTGAAGCAGTGAATGAAGCAGGCATGCATGGTGTGTGCAGGAGATTTGATTCACGAGCGTCTCGTTTGGTATCGTTTTGTCGCTCATAGCCATAGGCCAAAGCTGACTGCCGTCTGGACTCTGGCTGCTGTGGCTGAGCTGCTGCTTAATTCCTAGCTATATATATATATACATACATATTATATATATATATACATATATATATATATGTGTGTTATACAGCTAGCACTCACCCGTGGTACGTAGGTCACATGCTCTGACATTAACTATACATATTCTGTTTTATTCTTTATCCTTTTGTTTTTTTCCACTATTGGATTTTGGGGTCACGAAATGTCCCCAAGAAAAGACACCCCTACCTCTCCACTTTCTAACATATTCATTAGCTCTCCAAGATAAATAATTCATGCCATATTGTAAAAGACGAAACAGTTACTTCTTAACCCAATATTAGGGGTACATTCAAAGATATATTATGAGCGATAAATGTCAAATAACATCAATTTAAATAATATTCGAGTCTCATGAGAGTTATACAGTTCATAATCATGAATGTTTTCTAACTAGTATTCATATGACTCAATTAATTCTAACTAGGATTTCATATTTTGATAAAGGCCCGACATATATATATATATATATATATATAATTTCAAATTTTTAAGAGAATAAACTATAAATTTTAACAAAATATATATAATATTAAAAGGAAAAAAATCCAGATGGAATGGCTGTCTACTCTTAATAAGGTATGACGACGCCCCTCCACATTTGTGTAATATTATGATTTATAAATTGAATCGCCTCATTGTAGAGAACATCTTTCTATTGGATTAAGAGATATCATTCTTTATAATTTGCTAATAAATGATATTAGTACAGTAGTTACATATATTCGGCCAACTAACATTCGACCAACTAATAGGGTTGATCCCCTGGGTTATATGCCACTGCGGTAAATTTTAAGTTCGGTCAAATGAAATCACATTGAAATAAAGCAAAGTTTTATGTAGTACAAATAGACTCTTTATTGGAAAAATCCTAAGTCCAATACTCATACAGTCTGATAAATAGAACTTTTTTTATTTGTTTCTATGTAAATTTATTTATAAATGTGTGTAACGTTCGTTTGTTTAAATGTAATACTCAATATTACATGGGTTAGATTATATTTTTTGAATATTACACTTAAATAAATTAAGGGGCCGTTCACTTCGTAAATCACATTCGAGTGTGAAATTGAGCCGAGTTATGCGTTTATTAAACGCAACTCGAATTTCAAACTCGAGTAATAACTCGAGTTGGTGAGTTTCACTCATCCCTTATTTTTTTATTACTCGAGTTTGGTTATACAGTGCGGATTGTCTCTACAGAAAATGACACTTTTTTATAATTGGAGTTTAACTTTAGTACAAGTGAATACAAAACTTAAGTTTTAAATGTCAAATCAATCTATTCCTAAATACTTAACTCAAAGTTTAAATTAAACTTAAATTTTTTGTAACACAATTCTATTTTCTTAATTCGAATCAATAAATTTTAGTTAGTGAAATGAACGCGCCATGTGTTACCTACAAACGAACGATATTAAATAAAAATATCAAAAAACATTACATTTACCGGACAGGTCCAACGGTCGGAATTAAGACATTTGTAATTTGTAATATGGTCATTGATCAAAATTGAAGACGTGGACACAAAAACATGGCATAGTTTTCCTACAAGTTTTTTCCCTCTCTAAGAAAAGTACTACTTTGGGTTTCTTCATCATTACTTATGGTCAGTGATCTAGGAAATGGCAAGCACATTGCTGAAAAGTGACTCGTTATCCGACTAGTTCGACAAGACATGCAATTTCTCAGTGTCTCATGATTCCCCTCCTTCACGGTCACAGGAGGCACAAACACAAAACAAAAAGGTAAAAAGATAGTTGGGAATTTTGTACTGGCATATATGTATAAGCTCATATGGTTATACCTTTATAAATATATATCCATATTTATCTATATGTGTATTTTTTTAATAGAAAATGTCCTAGAGAGGCATCCGGATAGTCAGACATTTAAATACTCTTTATTCGTTATTGTAACGTTGTTGGTACATTTATGCAACACCGAATTTACTCTAGTGTTATGACTTAATAAATATACACGCATGTATAAGCACGATATTATATAATGACGAATGATAAAGGGTACAAATGCCTACTGGTTTTGGGAGCCTGATTTGCGATTTTTGCCATTTTTATATATGAAGCACTCTTATATTAGGTTCATCATTATCAGATAAAAAAAAAATATTAGGTTTATCATTATTTGTTGTATGTGTTGGAGTTACCCTCTTTCTTTTGTATACCTATGTCCAATAGAGGGTCCCTTTATGTCTCCTCATTTGAGATATTTCAATCTTAATTGCAAAAGTTTCCCGGGTTTCCTATCTGTTTTCTTTTGTCTATATCTGCTTGACATCTCTTTCTCAAATAGAGGCAGATTACCAATATTCTGTCAATTTCTAGGCTGCTTGTGAAACCCTTTTCACTGTTGATTATCTGCTTGTTTACGGAA